TGTACTCATCCATGACAGTGCTCGTCATGAAAGCTGTCCCACCAAGTCTCTGTTATTCCAATCATGTCAGTTCCATGACTGTGCGAGGACTTCTATTTCCTCCTACTTGTTTCCCAGGCTCAGGTGTATAGTCACCTGAGACAACTAGTTGATTGCCCTGATTTCTCAGGAAGTATGAGAGCACCTCCACTGTTTCCCCCTCTTACTTGTTCTTCCTCCAGGTCTCCTGCTTCCCAAATACCTCAGGATGACTGTGGTCCATTCCTAACCCAAAGCCATATACATCTCGGGGGAAATAACTGATGTCAGAATAGCAGCGCAAAGCAAATTTTAACAATATAAGTGATTTATGCCTCTAACAATTCTGCTGACTAAATTCTAGCTAAGGGAAAGCAATGTTCACTGTACTAAACCTGTACAAAAGTTCCAGTTTTCTTCACATTTCTGTGCTAGCTTCATTAAGATGCAAAATTGTGCAGTTGAACCTAAGGGTTGTCTCCAGGTACCTAACAGAGAAGCACAGCCTCTAGGGAAGATAAATAACTGTTAAACAGCTACTTGGGTCCAGTGCTCACTGCAAAGGAATTCCATTTTTTTAAAAAAAACCCTTTTCATAATACGCTTATATTCCTGCTAGATGCTGTAAATAATTTTTTGTCTGAAATTCACCTTCAACACTGAACTTACACTCCATGATGATGGATGATTGGTTACTGTACATCTGTCAGGGACAACTGGAAAACTAGCTCTGTAGTTTCACTGAAGAGATGAGCAGGCCCAAGTCAAGACTATGCTAAGTTTCTCTCAATTTGGCTGCTGCTTACAGGAAATTGCGAAAAGGACATTCGGTTTCTGCACACAATATAGGAGTTACTCTGGAGCATGCTAACTGTGTGATATGTTCTGAGTAAGTTTGAAAGAATCAGATAAAGACCACCTGAAACAGATCAGGAGCCCAGAATTTGGTACATCACAGAACTTGTTTTATTCAGGCTTGAGGTATTGCATTGGCTGCAATCATCTGACAGGAGCACAGTCCAGGTCTGCGATGGGCCATATCCTTAAAGTACAAAAATAGAAAAGGTGTAGCTTCTGTGGGGCGTCCCATCTGGAATCTGAAATAAGAGTTAGGAGGCTGATCAGACGCCTTTCCAGAAAAACAGAGTCTGCTACAAACCTCCCACTGTGAGCAAAATCGCTTCCAATCACATGGCCCCCAGATGGATTCAGATTCATAGATGTAGGGTTGGAAGGGACCTAAGTATATCTTCAAGCCTGACCCCCTGCCCTGAGCAAGAGAGAATACTGGGCTCATATGACCCCAGCTAGGTAACTATCCAGCCTCCTCTGAAAGGCTCCCAGGGTAGGAGCCAGCGCCACTTCCCTTGGAAGCTGGTTCCAGAAAAAATACCTTAGGAAGGCGGGGCTGGGTGAGAAGAGACTAGGGATGGGACGAGACTAGGGCTCAAACCATAAACTCAGCTTGGAGACCAACTTCTTTATCACTTCTTTGATCCAGGAGCAGAAATGATTGGGATGCACTGAAAAAAACAGCTGCATTCCTGCTGCCATCACTCAACTGGTACTGGAGTGTGCGTATGAAAACAGACAATACCTGACTGAAATACAATGCCTTGAAATCCCAGTTTAAATCATTAAAACTGATTCCTTAAATAACACACTTGTAAGGTAACTAACTTAGAAGGCTAAGAGTATGCTGCTCAGCTCCCTTCCTTTGAGTGCCCTTGTTGGGAACACTGTTAAAGGGCTTCACGTCTGTAGGGACAGGCTCCAGAAGGCTCTGCCTCCAGAAAAGCTACAGACTTTATTACAGTGTGTAGCAGCATTAGCCAGCAGCAGCTCTTCCTATAGGAGCAGAAGGTTCAAAAGAGGATGGAGAATGGAGCTAGACTGTTCTCATTAGTGGCAGATGACAGAACAGGAACAATGGTCTCAAGTTTGCAACAAGGGAAGTTCAGGTTAGATCATAGGAAGAACTTTCTGACTAGAAGGGTAGTAAAACAGTGGAACAGGTTACCCAGAGAGGTGGTAGAATCTCCATCCTTGGAGGTTTTTAAGACCCGGCTAGACAAAGCTTTGGCTGGGATGATCTAGTTGGGGATGGTCCTGGTTTGAGTAGCGGGTTGGCCTAGATGACCCCGAGATCCTTTCCAACCCTAATTTTGTATGATTCTATGGTAGCATGGCAATATTCTGTTTCCTGCTATGTACCCTTCCTTCTGGCCCTAGTTAGGCTGGCCATCTAGCTGATGAGAAGTAGACTCTGGCCAGGAGGATCCCTTGGTGTCTTCCTGTCTCTCACCTGTGTACACCTCTGGACAGTTTCACTGGGTAGTGTCCACTGGCTCCTTGGACTTGTTTGAAGGCCAGTGGGCACTGGGGGGTCCTCCAAGCCTTACCTGGCACGTCCCCTGGCTGAGCCTCACACGTAGATCCCGACCCAGAGCAGCAGGAAAAGGACTCCAAAGCCCATGAAGAGCGAAGCCACCAGGGAAATGAGTAGCTCCTTGTAGATGTCCCGTGTGTACTTGGTGGAGGTCACTTCGTAGCTGCAGGTGCTAGTTAAGGCAATGGCTGGAACTGTGGGACACGGGAAGGCGAATCCTCCCAGCCAGCAAGGCAGGGGGGCAGCTGCAGGGGTTGGGAGGCATGTCCTATGCAGCCTAAGACCCTTGCCGCAGGGCAGGAGGAGAAACAGCCTTGCCCACTGCACCCCTGGGCCTCTCAGGGAGCCTAATGAAAAAGCTCAAGCCTGCCCCAGCTCTTCGTCTTTACGTTCAACCCCACCCCACACTTTGAGTCCGTCCCTGACTACCCCAGCCCCAGCCCCAGCCCCAGGTGTCTTTGTCCCCTCCCCAGGTTTCTGTGGATGTTTATTCCCCTTCAGTGTTGCCCGGTGTACAATAATTATCGTATCTGTATGATAGTTTCAACTTTTGCACAATATACGATCAATAACGGTAAAAGTGCTCAAAACATATGACTGGGGTGTGGGTTGTTTCATAGTTTTTAGGGTCGGAAGGGACCCGAGCAGATCATCTAGTCTGACCCCCTGCCATGGCAGGAAAGATTACTGGGGTCAAACGACCCCAGCAAGGTGTACATCTAGCCTTGTCTTAAAGACCCCCAGGGTAGGAGCCTGCACCACTTCTCTTGGAAGTTGGTTCCAGACCCTAGCCGCCCTGACCGTGAAATAGCACCTCCTGATGTCTAACCTAAACCTACCCTCTGCCAGCTTGTGACCGTTATTCCTGGTCACTCCTGGCGGTGCTCGGGGGAACAGTGACTCCCCCAGTGCCTGCTGATCCCCCCTGACTAGTTTGTAACAGGCCACAAGATCCCCCCTCAGCCTTCTCTTTTGGAGGCTGAACAGGTTCAGGTCCCGTAGCCTCTCCTCATAGGGCCTGCCCTGCTGTCCCCGATCATGTGAGTGGCCCTCCTCTGGACCCTCTCCATGCTGTCCACATCCCTCTTGAAGTGCGGCGCCCAGAACTGGACGCAGTACTCCAACTGCGGCCTGACCA